ACTCTGAAGCTGCTGCCCCCACGACCCGACTTTGGAACAAGCAGAAGTCAATGGATGGATGATGAACAATACGATCTACTGGTATCTACTATAAAAATTTAAGCTAACTACTTTTAGCATTTCAAGCTAACTAATGTTAGCAGTACAAGCTAACTAATATTACAAGCTAATTTAGCATTAGCACAAGTCAAAGTTTCTTTATTTGTCATACATGTGGTACATGAGGTGGAACAAAATTGTATAAACAGGGTCCCAGTTACATCCAACAAAAGTATAAAATGTAAAGAAACACGTTAGTAAGATCTGAGATATGAACTAAGAAAAATGTTAAATTAAAAATACACTAAGAACAAGTAGTACAGAAACAATACGTTCAACAACAGCAGCACGAACATGAGTCTGTGTGAGCAGATGAGTACAGATGAACACAGGAGCATGAAATAAATCAGCAGCATGAGATCAGCAGCAACAAGCTAAATAATATTAACAGTAGGCTACAAGTTCATCCATCCATTATCTTTTCCCGCCTCTTCCTTTTTCAGGTCGCGGGGGTCAATTGGTGCCCATATCCAGGGTGGGGGACACCCTGGATATGTCTCCAGTCCATCACAGGGACACATAGAGACAAACAACCATTCACTCACTCACACCTAGGGACAATTTAGAGTTACCAATCAGTCCAACACGCATGTTTTTGGTCTGTGGGAGGAAACTGGAGTACCCGGAGAAAACCCACGCAGCACGGAGAGAACATGCAGACTCCTCCCAGAATGGCCCCCAAGCTGGTCTCTACATTCTGCACTTTCTAATGCAAAGCATCAGTGAGCTGATATAAAGACAAACTCATTAATGAAGGGAATGCATTATTTTATGATATGAAAAGTATGGGATCTAGAAAATGCATTTATAATGGATTTCAATAAGGTTAATTTCCCCCTAAGGAACAGCAGAGGGCAGGAACGTTTGAAGCACCATTCGAAGAAATTCTGAAAATGTAAGAAAAGTTCTAGAAGATGTATTAGGCTTTGTAAGGAACCGTTGCGTTTATTGACAGCCCGACTCAAAAACATGTTAAAAAACAGCAAAAATTAATGGCTGGCAGATTTTTCCCTATCAGAATCAGAATCAGCTTTATTATCGTTGCACCGAGACACAACGAGAACATGTACGAACAGCCGTCTAAAAGATGGCGGAGTGCACGGAGCTGCTGCTGTAAAGCGCGGCCTCTTGTCCTTTTCAGAAAACGATTTTTTAGATTGAAAAAGGGACAAAGCCATGAGGAGAGGGTGGTGGCATTACAAAAAGATCTCTTCACACCTTGTCCTAACAGGACACGATTTAAGACATTAAAAACTCTGCCCGCAGCACATTACGAACACGTTACATGTGCATTTGACGACGAGGCGGTCCATGAAGCACCAACAGATGGTCCATTGTCCTGATGAGATGATGAGCAGTTCTGATAAGCCTCCACAGACGGTGTAAGTCGGTCTGTTTCGAGGCCAACTGGGGAGTCAGATTCATTTGATTTATTCAGGCAGACTTTTTTTTTCTTGTCAGCCTCGAGTCTGTACTGATACTTCCAAGATCTGAAATGTCCAGATTAGAGTTCGTTCTACTGGTCCGTGCTTACGAGCCTCTTCAAGGTCGATTTCATGCTGACGAGTCCCAACGCCGCAGGTGGCCTGCGATTCAGATCACTTCCGACTTACGGTTTCGCTCGTAAATCAGCTGATTTTGAGTCCTCAAAGCACGAACCAAACCTTCACACAGACAGCAGACTAGCTGCATCCATCCGTCTTCTTTGTATGTTGATAAACCAGGATCCAGACTGTTCCAAAACCAGGAAACCTGTTATCATAAATCCAATTAGATGCATTTCAGCGTCCTCGATCGACATCAGAGGTCGACACATCCCCCCAGAGATATATCCAGCTGCATGCGTGTCGTCCGAGCAGATGAGGGTTCTCCAGGACCCCGTCGCTTTGTTGAAAAGATGTTGTCATTTGCGTTGAAAGTCCAGTTGGTCAGATCCAAAACAGTAGTTTTCATTTCAGAAGATGTGTAAACATAGGAGCTGCTCCGATACAGACAGAGAGCAAAAAAGCAGGAAGAGAACAGGGAGTGGGAAGGAACGCATGCGCCTCGTTACAGAGCCAGTGAGAAGAAAAGAATATATATATATATATATATATATATATATATATATATATATATACACACACACATGTATATATGAGACGTTCCAAGAGTTAAGATGGCTGCAACCCACTTTCTTCCTACAGCCCCGCTCTAACTAGCCATCAGCTCATCAGTCCAGTCAGAATTACATTTTATTTGTGCAGCGTGAGGAAACCTGTGTTCATGCAGGTTATGAGCTGTAATTCTTAGGAAGCTAACGGAACATAATTTCTTCAATCCGGAGCACTGTATGAGCAGTGAACGTTAGTCGCTATGGTTACAGGACATCAAGTCTTTTATTGTGAAGCTTTCACAGCTTTTTGTGTCATTCGCCCAACTTTTCTGAAATGGAAGATGGTCAGCTTTCTGCTTCCATAGTACAGTCGTTAACCAGGTGCCTAGTTTTATGGACTTGGGTCAGTTTGTGTAGAAAAGGCTTTGTCGCTCTGCAGGGTACAGCGATCCTTCAGCGAGAGAGCGAGACTGATGTCGCCCCTGCACTGCAGCAGATGGAAGAAGACATGAGGCATCTCAGCGTCGGGCCGCAGGTCACTCTGGGGGACGTCCCAGTCCCAGAGGACGGCCAACTGGATGGACAGGTACCTCACAACTGGAAAGCGACACAGACACGCCATTTATAAACTGGGATCCTGTCTGCTGTTCCAGGCAGAGTACTGTGGAGTTGGTCCGGACAGCAGTGAGAGGCGCGCAGGACCGGACGCTGGCGCGTCTGACCCACGAGACGTCGCCGCTCACCAACGTCATGCAGCTCAACGCAGCAGCCACGAGCGGTCACCAGAGAACGCCAAAAAGCAGCACCTCAACAAACGCCACAAGGAAAGAGGGAAACCTGCGACGTCTGAAACAGGAACGAAGGGAAAAACAAAGTGAGGGCAGGAGCTCGGTTAATGAAGCTATGTCAGAGTTAGGGCTGGTTCTGCCTAACTCAAACCAGCTGTTTTCTTCTGAAGGACAACTGAAGTCAATACAGCCCAAATATCTAAAAATAGAAGCCTTTGTTTCAAACGTTTAATTAAACGCCGTTCAAAGTTCACGTTGGTCTTTCTTGACCTTGCAAACAGTGAATGAGCTGAAACCACGTAGTTACGTTTGTGTTTGAAAAATGTATTTCCTGAAAGACTTTTCTACTACAGTACCATTCCTGCTGCGCAACAGTAACATTCACTCCCTTGTGACACCTACTGTTCAGTCCAAGAACTGCAGCATCCGGGCTCCCAGACAGCTAAGACGACGCCGAGAAACCCGAGCCCGTGGTAGTACTGTGAGATGAACAGGTCCTCAAAGTGGAGCAGATGACCTCTGAGGTCCACTTGTTGTGTGTCACCTCTCCCAGCAGTTTGGCGTGGACTTTGGTAAGGTCTGATGGGAAAGGAAGGACCAAAGGCTGAGGACAAGTAGGAGCAGACTGCGTTCAGTTGCCGTGTCTAATACGTCACGGAGATCTGAGAGAAGGTGTGTACAAGTATCACCTGTGAAGACTGTGTAACTTTACTTTTTCCAACGGTGTTGTAGTGAAGAAGCCAGCTGACGTTGTTGACCACAACCGACCTAAAGGTCTTACATTCCAGCAGGTCAGAGAAGACAAACGGACCAGTGAGGTCAATGTACCTGTGGACACAGTCAGCCCAGTCAACCATGGGACGTTTAACGCCCGATACTGGACAGTGAGACGCTGTTTCTCTCCTAAATTTGACCCAAGTAAACTCAAGCTGCTTTACACACAGATCTAGAGTACATTAAAAGTGTTGTGGACATGACTCAGAGGTTTCTGGATGTCGGACAGGATCACGTCGTTCTTTTAAATCACCTCCCGAAGATGAAACTTCATCTTGTTCAAATTTGGGAAAGGCATCAATAAGAACGGACCAAAACACAGTTAAAAATAAATAAATAATAACTAGCGATTGCATTTCCTGCGAAAACGCAGTGTGAATGCTTTTTGCTGAAGAACTTGCTGAAAAACAGCTGAAATTATGAAATGAGCTAAAAACATGCTGAAATGTAGCTGAAATGGAAGAACAATAAGTTAGCCAAAGAAAGCAGAAAGAACACGGAATTAGGATTAAATAAACAGAAATGAGCACAAAAATGAGGAAATTAATTAAAAAAAGCTGAATTTAGCAAATAAAATAGCTGAAAAGGCTGAAAGAAGCTACTAGAAGGAATTGGAAAGAGTTGAAACGAGCTAAATTTAGCACATCAGCTAAATAGTAGCTGAAATAGCAGAAAAAAGCTGAAAGACGCACAACAAGCTGAAATTAGCAGAAAGAAGTTCAGTAATTACCACAAAAAAAATTGATTTTAGCTGAAATTAGCTAAAAAAAAGGCACCTGAAAAGGTAGAACCAGCTTAAATTAGCAGAAGAAAGCATAAAGAACACGTTTGCTGAAAGAAGCAGAAATGAGCACAAAAGTGGAAATTATCTGAAAAAAGCTGAAATAAGAAAAAAACAAAACAGCTGACATGTAGCTAAAAAGGCAAAAGAAGCTTAAATTCCCATAAGGAAGTGGAGAGAGCACATTTTTGCTGAAATAGGCTGAAAAAAGTTTAAATAGTGCAAAAAATGTAGAATTAGCGGAACAAGCTAAAATTAGCATAAAACGGCTAAATAGTAGCTGAAATAGCAGAAAAGCTGAAACTTGCATAAATAAGCTGAAAGGAGCATAACAAGCTGAAATTAGCATAAAACAGCTAAATAGTAGCTGAAATAGCAGAAAAGCTGAAACTTGCATAAATAAGCTGAAAGGAGCAGAAAGAAGTTAGAAACGACAACAAAAATATTGTAGTTAGCAGAAAGAATCAGAAGGAGCACAAAACAGCTGAAGACAACCAGCTGAAATTAGCTGACAGTAGCTGAAAAAAACATTAAAATTTGTAGAAAGAAGCTGAAGCAGAACAAAAAGTGAAAGGAGCAGTAAAAAGTTGTAAACAGATCTAAAGATGTGAAGGATGGAAAATGAACTCAGTTCATTTTCTATGACATGTGTCAAACTCAAGGCCCTGGAGCCAAACGTGGCCCTCGTTGACATTTTACCCCCCCCAAGATGTAATTTTAAATGTAAAATACTTTTATCACTTTCATTTTTTCAGTAATCTTTGATTATGAAGTCAAAAGTGCAACAGGGAACGTAAAATGAGACCAAACTCTTGTTGTGGAACGTGCGACCAAGAGAAGTTGTTGGTATCTAACTTGAGTTCATGTAGATTCTGAAACCGGCCTTGGTTTGAAAAAGGGTTTAATTTTGGCTCCTTCTGTCAGTGAGTTTGACAAACCTGATCTATGAGGGAAAAATGGGAAAATATTTCAAAAAGCTAAAGTTGCACCAAAAGTCAGAGCAGGATTGTCCTGAAAGAGCTGAAGGTTTTGATTTATGATTTGTTGAAATGGCACAAAAACTGTGGAACATGACGCTGAAAAACAAACAAAAGAAAAATGGATCCCAATGGTTCACTCAACCTTTATTTAGACGGGTTGAGTCTCGGGGACTCATTTACAAGAGAGACCTGATTTCTTTAACAAAGACTGATGACAACAATGGATGACAACGTTCACATAATATCTGGGTGTAACGGAGTTTAAAATGCACTGTTTCTTTACTGTGTTGCTGGTGAAATTTATCTTATTGAGATCTTTTATTTTGAAATCGTCAAAGGCGGAAATGACGTAATAAATATCGGTCAACTTCCGCTCCCTCACTTTGGGCTAATGCAGCGCAGGGTGAGTAATGTGGAAATGTTTCCGTTTTTTTATTGTCTTTATTTAAGTTATAAATATTTTGGCATGTTGTTTGATATCAATTTTACAATGTTATTGTGACTTATTTTTTTATTTTGACCGCAAAAGAAAAAAACAAATACGTTTTACAGACATTTTTTATTAAACTCCATTTTAAGCTAGTTCGGCGCCATTTTCACTAAAGCGCGCCCTCTTGTGGTCGGCGGCTGTAATGGCTCCGCAGCTGATTTGCTTCGTTCTGTGACTTTTAATTTTTGGAGAAACAGTATTTGGACGTTCAGTCATTTGAGGAAAACAATGAATAAATTAAAACGTTTTTCTGTTTTAAGGTTTACATACAATTAGAACTAGCGGAGGCTATTAGCCAGCGCTAACTGCTAATATGTTAATAAGAGCTAACACGCACAGCTAACTTTTGTTTCTTGCTAATTAGCAGCTCAAGTTTGACATCCAGCAAACTTTACTGGTGATAAATGGAGTGAAACCACAGCTGGGTGGAAGGAAGGGGTCAAAGGTCAGTCTGACACCTGTTTGTGCTAGCATTAGCTTTTTTTTGTGGCTAACTGGCTGTTTTGAATTGAACTGGGTTGTTGCTGTCCAGCTCAGAGGCACTTACTTTGAAAAGAACATCTCCCCTACCTCTTTAAGGTATACGTTCATTTTCAGATGTTTCGCTTCATTTTCAAGGAACTGTGGCCCGCTCCTCTTTACATCGTTATGTTTTCCACTTGAACACTCGTTTACCTGCTGACTGAGACCTGCAGGATCCGAGCTGGAGCTCCTGTCCGTCACAATGCTCTGAAAATGGTATGGTCTGACCTCGGGGTTAATTTGCTGGGATGTCCACTCCTGAGATTGACAGCTGTCTTAAACGTTTCCCATCCGTCCATTGTCTTTACTTGCTTCTCCCTTGGTGGGGGTCGCCAGTCGCTGGACGAGAGACGAGGTACACTCTGGACACGAGTCACAAGGACGACGTAAAGACCAGTGGTGGGCCCTCTGTTAATTAGTCTGTAGGAAGTTCTCGTCATTCCACAGCACATGTTCATATAGAGCTTTCATCCAATCATATTTTGACCATCATTTGTTGCTAGGGGCAAATAAATCTGCCTTCAGAATCAACAGTGCTGGCCCCTGAAGCTCAAAATGAAACGCGATGAAACCGTTGCTTTGACCAATCAGATGTTGAGTTGGCGACACCAGGACCTTCTGGCAGGCTTTAGACAACGTCAGCGTTTTCACGTTTGAGTGGACGAGAACTGGTCGGGGCTGGACAACTGCATTTGTAATGATCTGCACCGGCTGAGCTCCATTTATGTAGATTTAAAAGCTGCTTTCAAGCCGCGGTGGCTGCTTCTGTTGAGCAGACGTTCTCCGCCCTGAAGCGAATGAAAAGTTATGCCAGAAACACGACGGAACGGACTCGGCTTTCATCGTTGGCGCTGGAACAAGCACTGAAACGCATGAATGATCTACGACAGAGGAGCTGAACTCTTCTTGAGGGAAGAAAGGATGATTTTTGTCTACAAGTAAACAAGACTTTTGATAAATAAAAAGCATTTTGCATTTTTATATTGGTTTCATTTTATTATGCGAATATTGATGCTTTTGCGACATATGTACATACCAGCAAACTTGTCACTTTTTGGTGACATTTGCTGATTTAAATAAAAAATACGTCATTTACGTGACTCCTCTAGATCCATAGTTTTTTTTAGGGTGTGGGTAGGCCTGTCGCAATAAACAATAAATTAATTAATCGTATGATAAATGAAAATTATCGACCTCATTTTAATTTATAGGCTTTATCGTTTCTTTGTGTCTCTCTTTCTACTGAAGACACTCGATGAGAAAAAGATCAACTCCGGTTCTTCACTGACCCCGCCCTTTCTCTTTAAAATCTGTTTTAACGTCCAAAATCATGTTTTTGGACGTTAAAAGCAGCTAAGCTACGAGCTAAGCTAACAGGCCGACCTCGGGAAAAAAACCTCCGTCTTGTCGAAGCTTCAAGATTCACGGTTGAAACTCGTGTCTTCGTGTAAAAAGTTGTTTTTCTCTAAAAAGAAGCTGAGAACTTGTTTACTGATTTTTTTTATTAAAAGCTTTGTGTGAAAAATGCTAAAGAGCTCGAATC